GCCGGGGAACTTGACGTTCCACAGCGCGTGGGAGCGCGTAACGCCATCGGCGTTAGACATTTGCGTCACGACACCAGGGAGGGCGGCAAGCACGGCGCCTGCCGAGCGTCGCATCGTGGAGGTGTGAGGCCCAGCGGGAGGAGAAGGTATTTTCATGCGAATCTCTTGGCGTGCCTGCTGTGCGGCATCTAGGCCGCAGCGACCGTAGCAGCCATCCGTATTTGTGCGAAACCCCGGTGCGGAGGTGGGCCAGTGCGGCCTCTTCCCCACGAGCGAGGATGGCGTCCGTGTGCGTGGGTTCCCATTCGCCTGCTACGGTGGTGCGATGAGCCTCTGGCCTGTGCCGTCGGGCACGGATAGTACATTCGGCCACTGCGACGATGCAGGTGCTCCATTTTTCTGTGATCTGTGCGAGGTCGGACGCCTTATTGACTTATACATCACGTGTTTCGTTCTTCGACATGCCGCAGTGGCCAAAGACAAGCTGCATCCGTATGCGCGCTCCTCGGCGCTGCGGGTGACAGAAAAGGGCACGTCTACAATGTGAGCCACCACGGGATCTAGAACCGTGAGAGGAGTCGCTTTTGTAGTGCACTGAGGAGAGATTGTGAGCCTGTGAGGGTTGAAATACTGTACGGCGCACTGCCTGTCCGAGGGATGCTGCCCAATGGATTCTTGTACCAAGGTGCTGGGCGATGCTTTAGGCTCTGCGGCTGCATGGCACCGGTCCTGCGCCGGCCCTGGCAATGTTGATCCGCGTTCCATTCAGGTACAGCATCGCCGCTGCTCCAAACTTGACGCCGAGTCCCACGAAGCCGCCCGTCCATCCTTCGCGGCGTTTTCTTCTGGGTGTGGCAAAAGGCCTGTGCGTCAGATGTGGCGGGCGATCCAGCGGTCACAAGCCTGGTGCTGGACCTTGTCGGGGCCATCTGCAGCGGCACCGTCGCGGGAGGGGCGGGCAGCGAGCTTCTGTCCGAGGCGCAGGGCGCAGGGCCATGATGAAGTCGTAAGGTTTTCTGGCGGGGTGCTGCGGGTGGCGGACAATGGAGGCACTAAAACGCAGAGCATTACTACGCGCCTCGCATCGGGGAGGGGCTGCAGCTTTGCCTCCAACACGGCACACTTCATTCTACTTACTCTCGGGTTTCACGCAACTATTTTGCTCGCCTGCTACTTTGCGGGATCCGGCGTGCAGCGGGACGTCGGGAAGGCCACCCAGCAACATACTCTGACGCCGTGCGTCGCCTCCGCCTGCGGCAGCGCAATGTGCACCGGCCTCAGTGTGTCCCTCCTAGTTCCCCATGCAAAAGACAAAATCGTTGCCAGTTGGAGTGGGCGCTGATCCAATTCCTCATGGCGATTCGCCACGTGTGCTCATTCCACGAGGATGCTGGAACTTGACGTCCAGAAGAGTCGGCATGTGTTCCATAGTGACCGGGGCGTCCTCATAAGCGAGGCGCAGTGGGGCCGTGTTGCCGCTGCCAAGGAGAGTGTAACTAGTCTTTCTGGCATTTGCCGCCATGAAGTATTCTCTGGTCCACTCTGCGACGGCACTCAGGCCTTCTTTTGAGGCCGAGTTGATCGTATCTCTGTTGCCCTGCTGTGCGATGGTGGTGGGGGCGTCAGCAATGAACCCTCGGCGAATTAGGGCACGTTCGAAGGACAAGGACGACGGGACCGCAAGACGACGACGAACATGATGGGTGACGGCGCTGTTCCCTGCGGTGCGCCTCGTGTGAGGGTCCTGGAGGAGGGTGTGAGTTTGTCGATGCAAACCACAGCACTTGGGTTATTGGGGCACGATGCTGACCAGCGTGCGATGCGATTGGGAATCGACAGTCGCCGCATTTCCAAGATTACCGCGTCAGGGCCCACCGTGCCAAAGGCATTGGCGTAGTCCACAAAGTAAGCCGCCGTGCGGTGTTCTGAAGCATTGCGATGCATGGCAGCCCTGAGGTGCAGCAATTGGTCGGGGGTGGAATTTCCCGGCAAAAAGCAAGATGGCTGCAGAGCCAACTGGGACTCGATGACGTCCCGGATGCGTGCGGCGGGGGTGTGTTCCATGAGCTAGCTGGGGCAGCTGCTCAGAGTTACAGGTCGGTGGGAGTCGCGGTTGGATGCCGTTCTCTCCGGATTGGGCAGGAGTAGCACAGCCCCGCGTCGCCAATTCCGCGGGACGCTCCCTGCACGTAGGCGGCTATCGAACAGCCAGGGGACGTCACGCCTCGCCACACGGCCTAGATGGCGCAGCGCCTCTCCATGTATTCCGTCGGGTCCAGGCGCCGGTCCCAAGAGCAACAGCCGTGGGGTGCGGCCGGGCTCTGCCATACTTATTGGGTGAGGTCCATCGCATTCGTCGGGATCGGTGGCGGAGGGCGGGGCTTTGGGTGCCGTGTTGCTTTCGCCGCCTACAGCTTCATGGGGTGGCTGACCTTCAGGTGTTTACTGAGCATTGGGCCATCGAAATTCATGGCTGGCGTGCTAAAGGAACGAGGGGCTTAAGCACGGGCGTACTACCTGCCGGCTGTTGCCGTTCGTGCTCTCGAGCTCGGAGCGGAGCGTGTGCCAGCGGCTTTTGGATGCTTCGCGCAGCGCTTCCCTGCGACGGAGTTCCCGCCGCTGACCGCCTTCTGCGTGGGGTGCGGCGGCAACGGCGCGGTCCAATTCCGCCAGCCATGGAGTCCAGAATGGGGACGGCTGGTGATTCCATTCCGGGACCGTTGCCCTGGTGGCTCTCCGCGTTCCTAGTACAACGCGCTTCTCCGTGCTGCACATTTTGGTTAATTCTCGTGGGATTCTGCAGAGCCGGCTGAATACTTCGCTGGGCTTATTCCAATCCGCCTTCTTCCATGCTAATAATTTCCGGTTAGGCCCCAGCACCACGGTGGGTGTGTCGTCGTCCCCGATCGGCACATCAAGGAGAATGATGCAGTGATCGCTGCCCAGTGAGAGCCGTTCGGCCAATGGGTGACGACACAATCCTTCGAAAGGGCGGTTTCGGGTGCTGTGCTGCCCTGTCGCTCGGTGTACCTCGTGCGCTCCCCGCTGTTGACGACCTGGAGTACATTCTCAATGCACCGGCGCGCAATGGTATCGCCACGGAAGTCTGATGGGATGTTGCGGTCCCAAGCCTCCGTGTGTGCCTCGACGTCTGCGTCCATTGGCTGTGGCCCGTCCGCACAGAGCTGCCCATCCAATTCCTCCGCCGTCGTGCTCTTTGCAAAGAAGGGAAGGAAATACACTGAGAAAAACGCAATTTTCATTCCTGCTTGTGGGTGGATGGTCGCTTGCGCCAGCTCGATTCCAGCGATGGAGGCCGGTTCTGCTACTGCCTGTGGCCCCTCACGGACGAGAATGGACACACCGCCGCCACGACAGTTGCGAGCAGTCCCGTGGTGCTGGACCGCGGCGCCACGGTGAAGCAGCTGGCACTGCCCGTGCGCACAGCTCCTGCTGGCATCCACGGCTACGGGGCTCATCCCGAGGATTTTGAATGGCGAAGCGTGAACGGCAGCTCCGATGCAAAGGGTTGCTTTACCCTTTGTCTTTTCTTTACGAGTGCGGAACTTTTTCTTTAACGGCGGGGATAAACGGGGGCGCGGGGTTGGCGTTTTACTGAAGATAGGAAGGATAAGCAAATACCGGTGGACATTAACACGTATGGCAGCATTGGCTCATCTTTAGGAACGGAAAGAGGGATAAAGAAAAAAAAAATGACGGGGCGTTTTCACAGGCTTGTTTGTAACTCATTACAATTTCTTTTTTCAGAGGCCTTTTAAAAGTGGTACAACATTTTTTTTTTGCCTTTTCGAACTTGAGCGGAGTCTCTTTTTCTATTTACGGTAAAGGCGAACATTGTTGCCTCTCTCTTCACCTGTCTTCCCCACGTTTGCATAATCACGCTTTTTTTAATTATTATTCATTTATGTGTTTATTTTTTTTTTTCTGCATTTTTGTGTCGAAGTGACTTCTAGCACCAATGAAGTTCCTCAAGCCTGGCAAGGTGGTGATCGTGACGTCCGGCCGCTACGCCGGCAAGAAGGCGGTGATTGTGCAGAACACCGATTCGAAGAGCAAAGAGCGTCCCTACGGCCACTCTCTGATCGCCGGCATGAAGAAGTACCCGAAGAAGGTTGTCCGTGGCATGAGCAAGCGCACCATCCAGCGCCGCTCTCGCGTGGGCGTGTTCCTGCGTGTCGTGAATCACAAACACTTTCTGCCGACGCGGTACAACATGGACTTGTCGAGGGAGCTCCGCGGCCGCATCAACGTCTCGGATGCGTCGAAGAAGGCCAAGTCGAAGCAGCTGGTGAGGAAGTTGTTCCAGGCTCGCTACAACGCCGGCAGCAACCGCTGGTTCTTCCAGCGTCTGCGCTTCTAGGGTGCTACTGGTTCGCTGCATTTGTTTTATTTTTATTATTATTAGAAATATCTGCAGTTCTTCTCTGTTTGTGGTTTTAATTTTGCATTTGTTTGCTCTTCAGGAGTGCTGTTGAACTCTCAGTTGTGCGTTAGCGCAGATGCATACGCTTCTCTTTTCTTTCTTTTTTCTTTTTTTCCTTTTTTTTTTTTTTTGGTTTATGCACCACTTACTGTGTGCTTCATGGGAAGTAGGAGGTGAGGGAAGGATGCCCAGGCTGATGCACGCGGGGACCGCGAGAGGAGTGTTTGCGTCTTGTGCCTGTTTGTTAAGGAGAGACGTGCTCGCATCGGTCATTTTATAACGCCATCGTTTTTGAGGGGTCATCCGGCAACGGGCAATTGTGGTCCGGCGGTGAAGAGCACCGCTTTTTTTCTACGGGCGAATGCAAAAAATTGTTTTCTTCTTTTATTTCATCTGTTTTTTTGTTTGTTATTTTTTCTTTTTCCTAATCTTTTTTGCTTTTCTTTTTATCGGTTACGGAGTTTTCTTGTCGTTACTGCGGAGACTGGTGGCGGCGGTGGGGATTAGGGGGGAAGTGGGGGACAAGAAAACGTCTGCGTCTCTGCCCCTGCGGAGGATGATACATTTGCATCACGCGGTGCGGCTTCGACTTCTTGCCCAGCGGGTGAGCGCCGCTGGTGTCATTTCTCCTTCTAATTGTGGGATGTCTCTGCACGCATTGCGGCAACTGGGCGCATGCAATGTGCATGACCGCGAGCTCCTGAAACGAATCGACGAGGTGTACCGGCAGGCAGACCTTCGTTCTCGAGCCAACATGTTCCATTGCCTGGCGTGCTGCGTCCGTGAGCAGTGCTCCGTTTACAAGGGTCTGCCAGAGGCATTGCCTCCCCTAATAACGAGTATGCAGGAAAGTATACTTGGCGATGTTGATGAACTTTCCCCCACGGAGTGCATTCTGGTAATGGAGGGGGTTGTGAAGGTGACACCGTATCGTTGTGCCACCACACACTTGGCGGCTATTCTCCGTAACCGCTCAACCGCACTTGTTGCTATTGTGAGTAACCCCGTTGAGCTTAGCGGCATTGCCCGGATTGCTGTGGAGGCAATGCAGGAGGCTCAACCCCACTCCACAGAAACAGATGGAGAGCAAGGGGAGGAATACCGCCTGCGTCTTGGATGGTCACGGGAACTTCGGGAGATTAGTGAGACGATTGAATCGCGTTTAGATTCCTTTGGCAAGCAGGACCTTCTAACGCTGGTGGATGCGATTACGCTGCGAGTTACGCCAAAGATGGAGAAAACGACAGGGACGGGAGAGGATAGATTGCGGAAGTTGGGCGAATGGCCCTCTCGCGATGTCCCCGAGGAGTGTCGGTCTCTGTTGTTGCGGGTGTTGAGTAGTACAAGGCAGCGTCTTACGGTGCTTTCACCGTCACAGTTAAGTGCATGGCTGCTTCGTGTTGTGCACCTCCACCAACAGCACTACCCAATTTTCATGAGTATTGTTCAGCGGCTGGGTGAACAGCATGTACGGTCCTCCATGTCAGCTTCACAGCTATCGAGGTGTATTGATTCTCTTGGTGAGACGATAAGTATCTGTCATGAAGAAAATTTTTTGAGTCGCACAGACCTGCAGTTTGTCTCGTCTGTTGTAAATAAACTCCTGGAGACATTGGTGCATATCTTGGAGAAGGACGGCGGGTCAAGCGAAGACTGTTCGGCGTACCTTGTGCCTGCGATGTTATCGCTATCGGAGGAAGTCGTAGCTGGAAACGTGGAGATTTTGCACCCATTAATGGAGCGTTTTTTTATTATTCTATACCGGCACTTTGGGAAACTCACGCCGCGAGAGCGTGCGGACGTGGTCACCGCTGTGTTTCTCTGGGGTTTGCTGAATAAAAAACCCGAACATCAGCAGGAACGGCAGCGGGATGCTGGCGCGTTAAAAATGAGCGGCAACGATGTATGCTCTCCAGATGCGTGGTGTAAAGTCGTGTTGAACAACATGGACTCTTACAGCACGTTGGATGCGTTGCAGATTATGAACGAGGTGACATCGGCCGTGTATGCGGAGGAGGCCGGAGCCTGCGCGTACAGTCCATTGTCGGTTCGGCCTATGCTTCTGCGGCTGCATGAACGTTTGCAGGGGTCGATAGGGAATCTTGACGGGGTTCCGTCTTCCCACCTTACCCGTTACTTGACGTCCATTTCAAAATTGGGGTTGCGCCGCAAGGCGGATTATTACTGCGTGCTAAAAATTCTTCAAGGGCGTGAGCTGACAGACTTTGAAAGCCTTCGAGTGCTTGGTGTTGTTGCACGTCATCATCTGCGCGCTGTGCCGTTAATCACGGAGACTGTGCGTTGTATTCCAAGTCGAGCAGCCTCGCTGCATCCGAAACAGAAGTGCCTCGTGCTGAAGTACCTGGGACAGGTAAGGGCACAGCGCTTTGTTCAGGTGCCGCACCACCCTTCTTTGGCATTTGGAGCGTTTTTGACCCGTGAAGAGGTGGTGAAAGAGATATCGGTGCTTAGTGCCATGTTTGCATTTGTGGGCCTTGTGGAACTGCGACAATTTGAGAACCAAACAATTGTTTGTCTCCTTCAAGGCCCCCTTTCTCGGCACGATGAATTCTCTGGCATTCATTCCGCAACGTCCCTCAGTGAATTTATTGCCGCATTGTGCCGAGTCGACCGACGTCTCGTGCCCACGAAGATGATACAGGCTGTTCTCAATGTGGTCACGAGTCGGTTAGCGACGTCACGGAGCTTCTTTGTGGACATGGCGGACATTTCCTTTTGGTTGCGATTAGTGAGGGAGCGATCTTCTTTGGGGGCCTACGTGGCTGCGATGGATCGTCAGGGTGAGAGTGAAAAGGAAGGTGCGGAGTACATGACGGCGGTGTCAAATTATGTCTCCGTGGCAGCCGCCATAGCTAAGACACGTCTAATGGATATCTCTGGTTCTAATGATCTGAAAACCAACACATTTCTTTTCAACCAGATGGCGATCGGCTATCGATTGGGCGTGTCGCTGCTGCCTGAGGCCGAAGAGCGTCTATCGTGCCATCTGGACACCAAACACCTTCCACAGCTTCTCAGTGACCCGCGGCAGGTCATAAATGCCGTGACAGTTGCCCGCCAAATTCGGCATTTAAACCCGACGGTCGCAAAGGAGGTGTTTCATTTTGTTGAGAGGAATGTTGGCTCGCTGGGTGCACAGGAGGCGCTATTGCTTGGGGTAGAGATGACAGAGTCGTTGTCTGACGCGGGTGAATCAAAGGACCAGGTAGTGGAGATGATGCATAAGCTGCACGCGCTGGCGAAGCAAAGCTTGAATGATGCACGACGACTGAAGAAGTTGAGCGTGCAGGAGGTAGCACTTGGTGCTCTTTACGGTGTTGTGAAGCGCCCAGTTTCTTCCACTTCCCGTTGAAAGAAGGCTGATGGCTTTCGGAAATGAACCTTTTCACATGGCCCTTGCCTTATAAACTGCACGTTTACTTTCTTCTCTTGCAGTGATTCACTTGATTACAACATTTCAATGACATCTCCTATTTTTTTAAATTCTTTTATGGGTTTGGTTTCTGCTACCTGAAGGGGATTAATACTGTCTGGCTTCTAGCACCAATGAAGTTCCTCAAGCCTGGCAAGGTGGTGATCGTGACGTCCGGCCGCTACGCCGGCAAGAAGGCGGTGATTGTGCAGAACACCGATTCGAAGAGCAAAGAGCGTCCCTACGGCCACTCTCTGATCGCCGGCATGAAGAAGTACCCGAAGAAGGTTGTCCGTGGCATGAGCAAGCGCACCATCCAGCGCCGCTCTCGCGTGGGCGTGTTCCTGCGTGTCGTGAATCACAAACACTTTCTGCCGACGCGGTACAACATGGACTTGTCGAGGGAGCTCCGCGGCCGCATCAACGTCTCGGATGCGTCGAAGAAGGCCAAGTCGAAGCAGCTGGTGAGGAAGTTGTTCCAGGCTCGCTACAACGCCGGCAGCAACCGCTGGTTCTTCCAGCGTCTGCGCTTCTAGGGTGCTGCTTGTGTATGATTCCCCTGTGAGTTTTTGTTTTTTGATCATTTTTGATGCTCAATGGCTTCCTGGCTTTACCGGTGGCATCCACATGTGTGTTTTTTTTATCAATTTTTTTTCTCGTGATTTTTCTGTCGTCCTTCGAGTCCTGCATGCGTCACACATTCTTTTTTTTTTTTTACCTTTTATTTATCATCTCACTCTCTCTCTCTGTGTGTGTGTGTGCTCCCGGGAGGTTGCCTGAATTGGGGTGGGCAGGGTCAAATAGAAGTTTATTGCCTGACGTTGTTGGGTCACGGTTTTACGTCTTTTGTGTCCGCTGTGGGTTTTAGCGACGTTTGAGGCTGTCGTCTGGTGGCGATGGCGGAGACGATCAAATGCATTTCTGGGATGGAGCCTCAGGCCATTCTGGCCAAACAACAGTACCCCAACGGCATCTCGCAGAGCATGTTTTCCGTCTTTGACAAGTGCAAGGACAAGAAGCGCATGATTGCACCAACACTGCTGAAGGGCGTCACGATCGCCAAGCTCTGGGAGAGCATTTTTTCCAACTCATCGGACTTCCTTAAGCGATATCACGAAAGACGGAAAGAAACCGAGGTGGAGGTGGGGAAGTGGGTGTATTTAAACGAAATGGGTAGTGGATATCGCACCGTATCTCTCCTCACTGTTGTGGACATACCAAAAGTTGGGAGTGTCACACAATTGAATGAGGTTCATCGCTTTTCGTACACAATTTCGTCCAGCGGGGCTGTGCTGCTTCTGTACCATATTTCATCCCAGACCCCAAATGTCCCTGCTGGTCAATCGTTTCGCACGGAAGCCTTTTTGGAAATTACTGCTGAATCTCTCAATGGCGACTGCACTATTTGCGTCTGGGGTGGGTGTAAAAAAATGAGCATGGCGTTCGCAGCCATCCAATACATGGCGGTGCCGCGAGCCATTCGTGAAATGACAAATGGATACCGGTTGATGCTTCAAATGATTTCTGAGGATTTGTTGGGTGATGCGGTGAAGGTTGCCACCGAGGACGAAGACGCGAATGGAGACGGCCAGAAAGATGGTAAAGACGCCGAGTACGGTGGTGCTGACGGTGGGGGCGATGGCGGTTACCAGGCACCGGGTATGGTATTCCAGGGACTGATGCTGATGCTTGCAATTGTTGTCACAATTTCTATTCTTTGCTCCATATCAACATTGCGAAGTACTGCCCAAATCTCAACAATGATTTCCTCTCAGCTTGTTGATGGGGGCATGCAAGGAGGTGCCTCACGCAGTTCTTTGAGTGGCAACTTAAACTTGCACCACTCCACCGGGGTGGGGACTGCACGCGGCCCAATAACACAAGACCAGGCTCTTCGTTACGCCGCTAGAGATGCACAAATTCAGTCTCTTCGTTACCGTTGGATAGAGCAACGTGTCACCGTACAGAAACTGGAATCTACCGTTGCACGTCTGTGGTGGATGAACGTGTTGCAGTTGGTCTTCATGGTGCTTTTGTTGATGAAAACTTTCTTTTTTTGATGTTTTTGACTTTGATATAGTACGTCGATAATTATTTTTCTTCAAAAAGCGTCTCTCTTTCTTTTCTCTCTCCCTCGCGCTCTTTCTGTCTCTCTGTCTGTCTTTGTGTGTGTGTGTGTGTTTGCGTGTGCTTGCTGTAGGCTTGGCAATGGGAGAGGGGAGTTTGTGTGAGGGAGCAGTTTTTTTTCTTATAACAACTTTTTTTTTTTTACTTTTGTGTGTATGTGTGTTTTGCCGGGCTTTGCTCTGCACGGGTCCGGCATGGGAGGGAGCTTTGATCGCCATGCCTCTGTGTGGGGGAAATTACATTGAGCCGAAGCCTCTGGGTGGGCCGAATCAAACAACACTGCAGCGGCTCCTTCTTCCCGTCACTCTCTCAGCCTCCCCCACACAGAGAGACAACCCCGTGAGGTGGCGATAAATATTTTTAGGGAGAAAGAGCCAACAGGAAGGAAGAAGCCAAAAAAAAAAAAAAAAAAAAATAAAAAAGGGAGAAAACAACAAAAAAGGTTACATGACGTGGAGGCTACTGCAAAACGAAAGTTTTTTTAATATTTTCATTTGGGGCATTTTGAAGCATCCGCAATTGGATGGGGAGGGAGGAGGAAAAGAGGGTAAGAGGAATGGGGAGAAAACGAAAAAAAAAATAATTATGAGAACGGGCTTTGGCTTGCTTTTCCAGAATTGATTTTTTTGCAAGGTGTTGTTGCCGCTGCAATATGACTTATCTTCTCCATTTTATTGGTGACGGACTGGGAAAAACACTGTTGGTAGGGTCATGATGAGATTCCGTTTCAGCACAGAGGAGAGTGTTACAGGGAAGGCGAGTTTTGACAGCGCAGCAAGAAATGATACAATGCTCTTTTTGTATCCTTGTAGAATAATTAATCTCGTCTGCGCCATTTTTTTTTTTTTTTGTTGTTGATGCATTGTGGCTACGTTTCTCCGGGTCGTTTGCGTGGAGGAAACTTATGTTGCCACAGAAGGGGCCGTGGAGGGCGGGGGCGCTGGAGTTGTGGGGTGTGTGTGGAAGCTGTTACGGTCAGTGGCGAGGGCTTTTTCGCCCTGACGGTTCTGCAGCACGACAATCTTTTCACTGACGAGGTATATTTGATGTATGTGTGTTTGGAACTCGGTGGTTTTGGTTGTGATTGCAGAGTACAAGATTGAAGTTTATGGGGCGCAGGGGCTCTGTGAACTTTGGGGTACTGCAGTCAACAACATATTCCGTATTTGAATAGGGCTCGGCCGCATCTCGTTTTAGAAGTTTTTTTTTTCTCTGTTTTCTCCTTTGTATATTCCGCGTTTGTCATTGCTGTGCTATGAGTGCGCCGGAGGGCTGAATTGTGTCTTTCCCGGTGTCTGTTTGTGTGCGTGTGCATGTGATGGGATTGGTGCACCGATAGTTCAGCCTGTTTTTTTTTTTTTTTTTTTTGTGGCTTAACTTGTGGCGTTGCTACTTGGAAGTATGGCGAGGGTGAGCATTGGCGAAGTAAACGGCAATTTTTTTCTCATTGTATTTACCTACAGCCGACTGTTGGATGTGTTCTACGAACTCTCTTGAGGGGATCCATGAGGAGGAGCGACCGGGCGACGCCGCGTTGCTGTGGCCTGAGGGGATGCAGCGGCAGGCGAGAGGAGAGTGTGGGCCGTCACTTCTGCCTGTTGGAGCGGCTCCAGATGGGACGAACTACGCTCCGTACGTGGTGCAGTCAACGAGCACGTGCGCCGTGCCATTTTCGGAGATGTTGGAGTCTGCGCTTCACTCTTCTGTAGAGGCGTTGGCCACCCGTGCGGCGGAAGACGAGAGCGCTCTCATCAATGCGTGCGCACCTCCTTCCTCTTGGTGAGGCCTCCAGTCTGCGTGTTTTTACGGGTCTTCTTGGAGAACAACTGCGGCGCTTGCACTTCCCGCACGTTTAGGCCTTTTCCTTTTGTGTCCCGACAGCGGATTGGTGGCTCTGCGCGTGGCGTGGGGGACGAGTTGCCAGGAGTTGCGCGCTTTTTGTGTGATGCTTCTTTTCCTTCAGATTCAAGCGTTTCTTTTTTTTTTTGATATGTTTTGCTTTTCTGTGTACCTTTTTTTTTTTTCCTTTTTGGCGTCTGTTCATGCAGCAACAAGAAGTAAGAGACCACAGCCCTTTCGTCTCAGCCGGCTTCCTCCGGCAATTGCTTTGGGGGTATTTTTTTTCTTTTGTCTTTCTGACTTCTGCGCGGGCAGTCGGTGGATGAGGGTGGCGGTGCGTCTTCTTCGCAGGGATGAGCGCATCCCCTCGCCGGGCAGTTCGCTCCTTAACCCACGCAGCCAGCGAGCCAAGCTTCGGCAGATGATGATGACTCACGCAGCACAAGAGAAGCAGTTTGAAGAGCAGGCGTTGTTTGCAGGACTAGGAGGCGCCTCATCATTGCCACCAGTGCGTAGCAAAAAGGAGCGAACCTCAAAGGCTACTCGCCGCGTCGGACGGGACGTGGCGGAGAGAGCAAAGTGCATGACAGATAGTGAGTGGGAAAGTGTCCCTATGGACGAGAAACATGCGTTTACTAAGTACATGAGTCAAATGCTGCGCGAGCACCCAACGGAAACGACAGAGCAGCAGCGGCGTCGGTACTTTGAGACGACCATGGTGGATGCACGTGACCTGGATCCACAGAAGACCGTTCGAGACGAGTACGAGCGTATTAAACTTGGTTTGCCCGTACAGTTGAAGAATCCACAACATCCTTTGGGCGTTTCGCAGGCTGTGTACGAAGCGGCGGATGCCTCACTTTTTGACCCGACGAATGTTCATAAATTGGAAAACGCCATGACCCACATTAAGCAGGTATTTGCAGATTACGTAAATAAGAAGCGGGAGGGCGTGAGTACAGAGGCGGAGCGACGACAATTGGCGAACATGACGGCTGAACTGAATTTGGAGACGCAGAAACATCTTGCAAACACATTTAAATACGCTGAAACCCGTTTACGGCAGATTTCTTTGG